TTTCGGAAGGGTGTTCATGGAACAGTAAAGGGTTTGTATACCTCCTATGAAATCGGCATGCGCCTGCGTGCCGCACGAAAAGAGATAGAGCAAAGGGATGCTTGCATTCAGAGCTTGCATGCCCGTGCGGAGAAGGCCAAAAATGAGTTGAAGAAAGCTAACCTCTCTGAGACTCATTCGGCGAGTCAAGTGAATTCGATTGTTGCGAATCGAGTAAATCGTTGAATTCTAGATCACGCGATTGCCGACCGAGAGACGGCCAGTATGTTCGCAATAGAATCTGCCAAGGCTAGGTCCTATGAGAAAGGCTTCCATGAGGGCTGTAAAATTGGAATAGAGAAGACGAAGGAGAAACTAGCCGAGGAGGTTTGTCGATGCGAAAATCACGAATTTAAGCATGGATGGACCAAGGCTCTTCAAGCCGCGGGCGTTGATCCGGCGTCACCCTTATATCAGAGTTATACTTTTCCGTTCGAGGCTTTCGAAGCCGAGAAGACTGATGACGAGGGCGGAGCTGAATAATTTTGATGTTTTTTTTTTTTTTTTTTAAAGCATGTACTTATGATTTATTGAATAAAACATATTATTTTGAATGTCTCCAAGAGTGTAATTTCTTTACTAAAAATAAATATTAGTTTATCTGATGTTTGTAGAAAGTAATGAATCTTCCTTGCAAATCTAGTTATCAAATACTTTACGTCGATCGTAATATCCACGAAAGAAGCTCTGAATTCGGAGGCTTAATCGGCCTAAACGTCATTCACGAAGGGCGCTCCGCATTCAGAGGCATAATCGTGTTTGGCCCAGACGTCATTCACGATGGGCGCTCCGAATTTGGAGGCTTAATCAGCCCAAACATGTCATGCACGAAGGACGCCCCAAATTCAGAGACTTAATTGTATTGGCCCAAACGTGATTCACAAAGGGCGCTCCGAATTCAGAGGCTTAATCGGCCTAAATGTATCGTGCACGAAGGGCACTCTAAATTCGGAGGCTTAATTGTATTGGCCTACACGTGATTCACGATGGGCGCTTCGAATTCAAAGGCTTAATTGTATTGGCCCAAATGTGATTCACGAAGGGCGCTCCGAATTTGGAGGCTTAATTGGCCCAAACGTGTCGTGCAAGAAGGGCGCTCCAAATTCGAAGGCTTAATTATATTGGCCCAAACGTGATTCACGATGGGCGCTCCGAATTCGGAGGCTTAATTGTATTGGCACAAGCGTCCCAAAGGGCGCTCCGAATTCGGAGGCTTAATCGGCCCAAACGTGTCATGCACGAAGGGCGCTCCAAATTCGGTGGCTTAATTGTATTGGTCCAAACGTGATTCACGAAGGGCGCTCTGAATTTGAAGGCTTAATCGGCCCAAGCGTATCGTGCACGAAGGGCGTTCCAAATTCGGAGACTTAATTGTATTGGCCCAAACGTAATTCACGAAAGGCACTCCAAATTCGGAGGCTTAATTGTATTTGACACAACCAGAACTCACTGGGCAACACAACCAAAACTCAAGAGAACATTGTATTGAAAAAAGAAAGATATACACGGTGTAAAATCAAAACAAGCTGTCGTGCCGTACAAATTGACTTAATGATAAAACTTGCGCAAGTAAAACTTGCGCAAGTGTGTGGAATTCCACGAACGTGGCAAGCTTCTTCCATCCATGTCTTTGAGCTGATATGCCCCTGTCCCTGCGATTGAGTCAATCTAATAGGGGTCGTCCTAGTTAGGACCCAATTTTCTGTCAGTCGGATTCATAGCAGCGGGAAGTAATTTCTTGAGGACCAATTCTCTTGGTGTATAACGGCGTAGCTGAACACGTTAATTATACGACTTAACAAGCTGTTGCTGGTACCGTGCCATGGATGCAAGGGCGCAATTTCGGCGTTCTTCAATCAGAGTCAAGTCCAAGGCCAACATCATGTCATTTCGGCCTATGTCAAAAACCTTCGATTTCAAGGTTGGGAGGCCGATCTCTAGGGGGATGATTGCCTGGGTTTCGAAGCATAAAGCAAATGGCGTTTCCCCAGTGGATCGTCTCGGAGTAGTGCGATGAGCCCACAGCACACTGGGCAACTCTTCGACCCATCTGCCTTTAGCTTTCTCCGTCCTTTTCTTGATGCCGTCCAAAATAACCTTGTTGGTTGCCTCCGCTTGACCATTGCTTTGGGGGTAAGCCGGCGAGGAAAAGTAAGGCCGAATACCATAAGTGTCACACAATTCTCGATACACACCATAACCAAACTGGGTACCATTGTCAGAAACAAGTGCTCGTGGTATGTCGAACCTTGTTATGATGTTTTCCCACACAAAACGCTTAACGTCAAAATCTCGAATATGTGTTAGTGTCTCCGCTTTAACCCATTTTGTGAAATAATCCGTCACAACAATTAGGAATCGCCTGTTGCCTGGGACCCGTGGTAACGGTCCAACGATATCAAGCCTCCATCGAGCGAACGACCAAGGACTAGTGAGAGAATTTAACTCTTTGGCTGGAAAATGAGTTAAGGGGGAAAACTTCTGGCATTGACCACATTTCTTGACATAACTCTCGGCATCGGTTCGCATGGTCGGCCAATAGGACCCCTGCGATACGACACGATACGCAAGCCGTTCAACAGTGCTTCTTATTCGGCCTTATTGTTTGATGTGTTGAATCCCAATTTGACGGCCTGTTCGATTATTGTCCCTTCGGGGGTCATGATTACTATGCCAGCCCCACTGCCATGCTGGTTGGATGACCCGTTGCAATACATCTGCCAAACGTCACCAACATACATTCTCCAGTTGAGCTCAGTTTGCACTTGATCAGATTTAAAGTCGGCGAGGGATTCTATGAACTCGGCTACAAAGTCGGCAAGCACTTGCCCTTTGATGGAAGTTTCTGGGTAGAAACTGGATATTATACTAGCTGAGTTTGAGAGCCCATTTCGAGACGTGCCCGACGCTTTCGCGTTGCGGAGCGCTGACTAGGGGGGATATTGCATTGGTACCCCAATGGTATGCACTTGAAAATAGTGCATCAGTTTTCTTGCAGCCATAACGAGAGCAAGGATAAGCTTTTCTAATGGAAGATAACGTGTTTCGGCATCAGCCATAGCCTTGTTCACATAGTAAACTAGTCGCTGCTTCCCAAGTTCTTCCCTTATCAGTGTGGCGCTGACCGCCCCGTCGAATACTGCCAGATACAAGATGAGTGGATCGCCAGTCATTGGTGTTGCCAAAAGTGGTACTGATTGGAGATAAGACTTCAGGCCGTCCAAAGCGGCCTGGCACTCAGGAGTCCAATCAAATGCTCTGCCTTGTCGAAGTGTGTGAAAAAATTGTCGGCAGCGATCTGTGGAACGACTGATAAACCTGTTAAGCGCAGTGGCTATCCCCATTAGCTTCCGAACCTCTTTGATTGACCGAGGGGATCTAAGCTCTAGAATTGCAGTGATTTGCCGTGGATTGGCTTTGATTCCGCGGTGGTTAACGATGTAGCCAAGGAATTTGTCGGATCCTATGCCTAATGCACACTTAAAAGCGTTCAATTTCATCTTGTACTGTCATAGGATGCCGAATGTTTCTGACAAATCGGCTAGATGGGAGTTATTTTCCTTGGATTTGACCACCATATCGTCGATGTATATTTCCATAGTACAGCCGAGTTGTTCCTTGAACATGGAAGTCACTAGTCTTTGATAAGTTGCCCCCGCATTCTTCAGCTCAGAAGGCATGACCTTGTAGCAATAGGTTCCTCTTGGGGTGAGGAATGCGGTTTTTTTTTATCCTCCAGATGCATGGCAATATGATGATAGCCTCTGTAGGCATCCAAGAAGCTCAGGCGTTGATGATCTACCGTTGCATCTACGAGTTGGTCTATTCTGGGCAAGGGAAAACAGTCCTTGGGACAAGCTTTGTTCAAATCTGTAAAATCCACACAGACATACCAAGAGCCATTCTTCTTTTTGACGACCACAGTATTGGACAACCATGTAGGATAAGTTACTTCACGAATCGCCCCAGCATCAAGTAACCGATCTACTTCTTCAACGATGGCCGAAGCATGCTCCGCAGCTAACCGCCAGCTTCTCTAAATAATTGGCTTACATTTCAGATCAACGTTCAAACGGTGTTGGGCCACTGATGGGTCTATTCCTGGCATCTCGTATGGGGACCATGCAAATACATCAATATTGCTGAGTAAGAAGGCTACCAACTCCTACTTTTCGACTTTATCCAAGGAACCGCCGATCATGAAGAACTTATCTGAATTTTTGTCAATCCGATGCAGGGCTTTGGTTGCTTTTTCACTTGGGATCCCCCCAATGTCTTCGAGGCTCTCCGTATCCGGTACCTCAATTAAATACACTTCCAGTTCCTTTGGTCTCTTTGTAGCTAGAAGATAGCATGCCTGCGCCGATTTCTGAGAGCCGTGAATTTGTTCAATACCGCATTAGTCAGAAAACGGAGCAGTTGGTGGTAGGTGCTTGGCACGGCTTGCATTGTATGTAACCAAGTTCTGCCCATGATCAGATTATACGGCGAAGGGAGCTTGACAACCAGAAATTCTACGTCTACTGATCTGGTGTCAGCTCGCACTGGTAGTGTGATTTTGCTAAAGGATACTCCGGGTTAGCATTGAAGCCGAATAACGGGTAGTCAGCCGGAGACAGGTCCGAATTGGTAAAACCAAGCTTGACAAAAGCTTTGTGACACATTATCTCCGAAGTGTTGTCCTGGTCAATGAGAACACGCTCGATGGTGAATCTGTTTACATGTAGCTCGATGACGAGGGGATCAGTGTGGAGGTGAGTCACTCTAACTAAATCACTGTCGTCGAAACTAATCCTTCCAGTGTCGTGTGGCCATTTCGCTGGCATCAAAGTGCTATGGGTGCTAGACGGCAACTGGATTGTGTGCACCTCGGGTGCTGCCGACAGGCTGTATATCATATGAATTACACCAAGAGGAGGTGACTCCGGCCGTAGAGCTACTGTATTTGTTGAATTATTCTTCTAGACGTATTGCGTAAGACGACTGTCTTGCACCAACTCTTCAAGGTGATCTTTTAATGAATAACAACTATCAGTGTCGTGACCATGGTCTTTATGATATTCACACCGTTTATCCTGTCTTCTCGCATCAGGAGGCCCCGTCATCTTGGGCGGCCACTTGAAGAACGGAATGTGTTGTACTTTCAACAGAATCTTATTGATCAGCTCTGTCAGCTCCGTGTATTTCTTGCATGAATGCCTTGTGCGCCTGCTATCCACTTGATCCTGTTCATTAGCTCGATGTGAACATTGGTCGTTTGATCGACACGAGTCATGCCTTTTATATCGTTTAGGTCGATTCTGCCGCTTGGGGCTTCTTGCCGGCACTGCGCTAATCAACTGAACAATTCCCGATGTGACCGTCTCAATGGCTTTGCGTCTGGCTTTGACTCGAAGGGCATCATCGCCTTCCACTTTGTAGTATTCTTCGGCTTTTTTCATTAATGCCCAGACGGTTTTGGGGGGACACCTGGTTAACAAACTGCGGAGGGGGCTATCAGGATGCAATCCCATCTTAAAGACGGTGATGGCCATAGAATCATTGCAAGTATCATCTACCAGATTAAAGCACTCCCAATAGCGGGTCGAGTATTCACGAAGAGTTTCTTTCGGTTTAATTTGCATCGCCCAAAGAGAATTGGCTTGCTTCGGTTGGACCTCATTAGTGATGAATCTCGCCCTGAATAACTTTTGGAGTTAGTGAAAGCTCTTAATCGATGCCGACTCCAGTTTATAGTACCACCTCACGGCCAGTGGTCCCAGACTGCTTGGAAATATCCGACACATGAGGGCTTCGTCGTCAGCATGGAACGTCATCGCTTGCTTGTAATGATGAATGTGATCAGTAGGGTCTGATTTTCCGTCGTAGAGGGTGGACAACGGTGCCTTGAACTTTTGGAATAGCACAGCCCTGGAAATTCGTTGCATGAATGGTTCATGTTTATCTTCTTCATCCGAATCATCGCTTCTCCTTCGTCTATGCCGTACGTATGGACTTCCTTCAGACGAGCTAGATGCATCAACTCGCCCTTTCTTTCTGGGCTCGAGAGACGGTGAGTCTGAATCACTATCATTGTTACGTTTCTGAAGTCGACGTCGGCGACCATCTTTCTTTGCCGAAGGTCGATCCCGGTCTTGGCATGGGGCTTGTTGGGACTTCGCCACCTCCAAGGCCAAATCTTGGCGCAAGTGCTCATTCTCAGCCATCATGTTCTCTAGCCGCTGTTCATTTTGCTTTGCCTGATCCATAATTGTCTGCATCGTCTCATGCATTGAAGTTAAGGGTGAGGTCTAAGCTACTGAATCAAAGTTCAAGGCACGTCACGCGGCGATATTCTCCGGTCCCAGCATGTTTCTTGGAGTGAGATTATCTCTAGGTGTAGTTTCATCAACTACTATTAGAGGATCTTCCGTGACGCTCGCCATGAATAAGCTTGAGTATTCCCACAGACGGCGCCAATTGTGAAGAAGTAGGTTTGGAAATACTCTTGGCTCCTGAAGTACGTCCCTGATCCTCTGATCGTCACCTGAAAAAGGGATTAACACTCTGGTCGGGGGTGCCGAAATTAGCATTCCGACGGACAAGTTAGTGCATGTCTATTGTTTGCTTGAGGCTTAAGTTTTTTGAATCTATTCTCACATACTTTTTTTTTGTTGATGTTCCTCTATTTATATTCCATTTTGGGCCCCAGGGTCGGGCCCACTCTTAATCCATCGTGTAATTGTTTATTCAGCCCCTTTTGTTGTATGTCAATTCTCACTCGGCTTTTTGTTCAACTGGTTCTATGGCCGATTATATATTCAGCGTCTGGATTGTACAAGACGGAACCGAACATAATATATGTATCCCGATTTTCCAAGTGTACCTCGCATCTCCACCATCACCATTATTCGGCTCTCACATTATTCAATACTTATATATCAATTTTTCAAAAATATCATTTAAAAAATATATCTAAAAAGTTATCATAAACTAAAATGTGTGGACCAGATGCATTCTGATTGTAACCATACATCACATGAATTTTGAATCTACTTCACCCACTTTATTTTTGGATAATTTTTTGAATTATTTTTTCAAGATCTTTAAATTTTTTTTTCCATACTTATTAGACCACATGAATATTGTTATTCAATACTTATATATCACACATTCACAAAAGTATACAAAAAAAAAATTAAAAAAAATGAAAATATAATATGAAAAAAAAATGTTATACGCTATATGCTTAGTTAAATATAATATGAAAATGAAGCAACAAAAACTATTTTTTAGTTTTGATTGGGTTAAGAATATGAAAAAAAAAAGAAAAAAAAAGAAAAATGAATTAGATAATCGTAAAAAAAATATAAAAAAATTCTTATTTTGTTTAATTAATTTAATTTTTTTTTTCACTGTAATCATTATCCAAAAAATAGAATAAATATTATTCCAAAAATTTAATATCAAGTTTCTTATGCAATTATCTTAAATATATGTAAATAAAATATATACTTAAAACAATTATTATTTTCACTTATTTTTCAAATAAATTTTTTATTTATGTAGAATTGATTGAAAATACAAAATCAATAAATTTTTAAGCAAATTACAAAATACCATTTTGGTAAATTACAAATGCATGTAATTTTCTAATGCTAACGGTAAATTGAATTGTTCAACTGATCTAAGAAGTTCAATTCAAAAATATTAATGTCAAATTAGAGTTTTTATCTATTTTTATCCATGGGATAGGAATTATTTAAAAAAATGATTTATGTCAAAAAAATTTCTATATGTTTAGACAATATTTATAGATTTATATTTTTAGTTATGTATGGATTAATTTCTCTTTATGTTTTTAATTAGTTAAAATATTTAAATTAATTAATTTTCAAACTAAAAAGTAAAAAATATTGGTTTATAGTGTTGGATTGGACAAAGAAAATGATATTTTCTAATTGATTTGAGATTTTCTCTCTCATCCTTTTTTTTTATTATTTTAATAGTTGACCTAATTTTAACGTTGCATCACATGTGTTTAACCATTTCATACATTTATAAATTAATAAATCGCCTTACAAGATAAATCATTCGATGATATTATTTACAAAGGGTTAGTTTAGTTAACGAGGATAGAAATCACAGAATATGGTTGGTATAAATTCTAACAAAGTTCAATTAAAGGTTGATTGTAAGGTTAAAAATTGTAAGGATAATTGGGGGAATAAAAAAGTGTGGCTGAGAAAGGGAACTAAAAACAGGAGTTGAAAGTTGTTAACAATAAGAGTGAAGTGATTTAGAAGTTGAGCTCTATGTAAGTTATAGAGGACTTCATTTGAAATGGCTTCAGAAAATGGGTTAATGTTACTCACTCTAAAAAAAATTATTTTGTTGTCCAATTTGTTTTTGATTTTAACAAATTTTAATTAAATTTTATTATGTAATTGTAAATTAGAAATTTTAGTTGTTATATCCTTCAAAAAAAATTAATATAAAAGTATATACATATACCTATATATATTTATCATTTATGCTAAATCTAATTTTTATAATTCATTCAATTTTTTTGCTCTAAAATGTTACTGATCCAATGACATACATATCTATTAATTAATACTTAATTTTAATGATAATACAGTTAAAACACGACTTTATTGTAATTTAAATGAAAACAACTTATTCACATAATTTTAATTATTTTTTCTTTTAAATTTTAAATTTATTATTTTAATTTTTAAGATAAATTTTTAATTATGTCTTTAAGGAAGTGCATAATACGGGTTTTATATTAGTATATAAAATGCATATTTTATTTTTACTTAAAAATAATAAAAATGAATAAATAAATCCCAAGGGAATGCTTCGGATACCCATGAATCATGTGTAATATAAGACTAAAAAAATTCAAAAAAATAAAGAGAAAAGAAAAGGGAATTTATGATTTTTGGTAGTACCTTGGCCTAGGTGGCAAACCGGAAAAATTATTAGTTCGTCTAAGAGTATCACGTGGCTATACTTCTTATCAATCAGAATTTATCATGTTCTCTCATTTTCTCTAATCACTTAATACAAATTTATAAACCTCATATCCTTTACCAATCACAACACTATTGAACCACCACGTGATAATGCCCCAAACCCAACTAATAAATTCTCAACAAACCAGTAAAAGTATTTTTTACTGTCAATCTCTTCAATGCATTGGGGTGTTTTGGAAAGTAAGTTAAAAACTAGTTTTTTTGATTTTTTTTTTTTAAAAAAAATATGTAAAAAACAGTAAAGAGATGGAATGACCTAATAAAGCCAAAAAAAAATTAAAAAATTAACTTTTAACGAGCTTGCCCAAAGAGCCCATAATTTTGCACTTTCAAGTCACCATCTGATAACAGAGACATATGTAACCAACATCTCTCTCGTGAAGTCATTGGTTGCTCTTGGGACACTGTCATATGGTGTTTCAATGGTGTTATGATTAGTAAAAGGGATGAGATTCACAAATTTGTGTTGAGTGATTCAAAGACATGCGGATGGATGATAAATTATAATTTGTGTGGGGCATGACTAAGTGGCGCCCTAAGACCAACCAACAATTTTTCCTCTCTCGTAATTATGTTCTCAAATAGGTTTTGAGAATTCTTAATTTGAGAAAAATTATATATAAAAAAAAATCAAAATTTGACTTTTATAAAAAATTAAATATTAAAATTTTAATTTTATCAATTTAAATCTTAATATTTTAATTTATTTTTAATCCAAACCATCAGCCTATTTTTATTAAGTAAAACTAACGAAAAAAATAATATTTTAGTCATTAAAATTAAAGTATGTGTACATAAAATGTTTAAAATATTATTTTTTTGGTTGACTTTAATTAAAAAAATAACATTTTTCCTATCAATTTTACTTATCAAAAATAGGCATATAATTTAGATTAAAAATAAATCAAAAGTTTAGGGTTTAAATTGATAATATTAAACATTTAGGATTTATTTTGTTACAAGGGTCAAAATCTAAATTTTATTTATTTACTTATAATTTTCCTTTTATTTTATTTTTTACAAAAAAGAATTGAAAATAAAATGATAGTGCAAAAATGAATAATAATCCCCAATAAAAATTGTTACGATTCAATTTAACAATGAATTTATTTATATTGAGAGGGTAATTTTTGGGAAAATTGGGCCGAACTTCGAGTTTGGTTTTGAGGCCCAAAACGCAGTGGACTAGGTAAAAAGGCCGTACAAATCTACTTCGGCCCAAGGAGGCAAAATTACTCCGGCTCAAGAAGAGATCGTAGATTAATGTTTCAAACATTAGATTGATGTGCAAATGGGACTAAATGGAGCATAAGAAAACTTTTAGGACTAAATGGTTCAACTTTTCAATTTAACAATGAATTTATTTATATATATATTTTTAGTTCAGAAGCCATTTTTTTTACTTGATACAAATCAAAACAATTTTAAAAGTTAAAATTATCTCTCAGTAGGATCCTGAAAAAATTACTACATATGTATAGAAAATTTTATAATTTTAATTATTAATATTGATAAATTTTACCATTAATTGTAATTATTTTTGAAGTTTTACATTGATGTGAAATTTTTCTATTTAAAAAAAAAACAATTTATATTGACTTCGTTTGGGATGTGAGTTAGTTTTTTGGCTTTTTAACTATTTGAGCTTAAGGCTAAAAGGCTCGTTTATGATGGACTTTTTGACTTTTTTGACTTTTGTAAAAGAAAAATGAAATAATTATGGTTTGAATGTAATATTTTATTTTATTAACTTTTTAGTTTATTTTATCTTTTTGTAACTAAAATAGCCAAAGTAACCCAGGCCAAACATTGCTTTCTAAAGGGAAAAGTCAGGGATCATAAAATTTTTTTCATAAAAATGATCATGAAAAATTTATGATCCTTGGATTACCTTAATTAGTGTGTGGTACTTTATTCTAAATGTAATTCAAGGGTCACAAAAATTTTATGATTATTTTTATGAAAGATTTTTCATGATACCTAAAATAAGTTAATTTATATTAATACTGTGGAACGGTTTGATTATGTGGCAGGTTTCAATTGGGGAGAACTCAAACTTTTAAAGACCGAAAAAAATGTGTACAAAATTTATGTACAAAAATACATTAATAGAAGTAATATATAATTCAAATTCAACCAAGTAGAATTTAAATTTTAAATAAATCTTAAAAATTAAAATTTTTCAATATATTTTTGTATTCTATATATGTGGCATTATTGTTAAAAACAAGGAAAAATTATTCATAAATCCCATTTTGATAAATGGTGCTCTAGTTAGTCCTGAGTGTTTTTTTTAAAACCATTTAGTCCTTTTTATTTTTGATATAATATATGTTTTTGATATATTGTATATGGAGTTTATATTTTTACCCATATTGATTTCATTTTGCAGGTCTCCCAATCTCTCCAACAATGGCAGCCCCTTCAGTAGAGTCTGTCCAATGCTTCTTCTCCTCGGCCGCCAGCACTTCGCCTAATGAGATCTGGAAGAGAGAGTTAAATGGGCTTTTTCTCCCCAAACAACAATCCAAGGCCCTTCTCCTTAACCATTAGTCCCATAAACAAGCTCTCTCTCTCTAGATTGAGGACTTGTTACTGTTCCTGTGCCCTTGTCTCTGCAACCAACACCAATCGTATCATAGAAAGAGAACAAAAAAAAAAAAAAAAAAAACTGTTCGATGTCAGTTTCTTCGACGACGATGGTTGCTTCGAGATCCTCATGGGCTCGCGCCATGCTTCAGATCTCACCTTACACCTTCTACGCTCTCGGCATCGTCATCGCCATCACCATCGGTGTGTCCGTTCTCGACCACTACAAGAAAAAATCACCTTTTGGTGACCAAAAAAAAAGATGGTTGCGAAAGTATACCTATTGGCGACCAAAGGCTTTTTTGGTTGCGGAAGATCACCTTTTGGTGACCAAAAAAAAAAGTTGGTCGCGGAAAGTATATCCTTTGGCGACCAAAGACTTTTTTGGTCGCGAAAAGTATACCTTTTGGAGACCAAAAAAAAAGTTGGTCGCGGAAAGTATACCTATTGGCGACCAAAGACTTTTTTGGTCACGGAAGATTACCCTTTGACAACCAAAAAAAAAAGTTGGTCGCGGAAAGTATACCTATTGGCGACCAAAGGCTTTTTTGGTCGCGGAAGATTACCCTTTGGCAGCAAAAAAAAAAAGTTGGTCGCGGAAAGTATACCTATTGGCGACCAAAGGCTTTTTTGGTGGCGGAAGATTATCCTTTGGTGACCAAAAAAAAAAGTTGATTGCGGAAAGTTATGGCGGGATAAATTTTTAAAAAAAGGATACTATTGTAATTACATGCTATTTTTCTGTTTAGACATTAAAAGTTTTATAAAATAATATATAACCCGATTTTTATGGGTTATATATTTTTTCTGCCAAATATGAACAAGAAGCATGTTATTAGTAGAGGGGATTGGGTGCATGGTGACTCCTTGGTTAGGAGTTCAAGTCTTAGGTAGCACAAAAGAATTATTTTTTTTGGGTCAAGCGCTGACTTTTGGCGACCAACTTATCTTTGGTCGCTAAAAGTTCCCTTTTGACTAATATGAATTGGACTTTTCGCGACCAAAAAAGTTAGTCACGAATGGTCACTTTTAGCGACCAAAGACTTTTTTGGTCGCAGAAAACTATCTGTCACGAGGCTTTAGCGACCAACTCGCGACCAACATATTTTGGTCACGAAAAGGCTTTAGCGACCAAATATGGTACTTTTCACAACCAAAATGTTGGTCACGGAAAGTGTTTTTTCTTGTAGTGGACAATGCTTGGTACATACATACATACATACATACATATATATATGAATTTGTATATATGTATCTTCGGAATTTGGTTTTGATTTCGGAGGCCTTGATGTGTTTTTTTGATGTTGTGTTCAGGGGGATTTACATAACAGGCAGTAGTTTGATCGGTGCAGCAATCAAAGCTCCACGAATCACTTCGAAGAATCTCATTAGGTAAAAACCCTAGGTGTTCTGATGTTCACGATGTTGATGATGTTGCTATTGTTCACGATGATGTTCACGATGTTCTGATGTTGCTGTTGTTCACGATGATGTTCACGATAATGATTTGATGATGTTTCCGATTTTTTATGATCGTAAATTTTTTTAAAATGAATCTGATGTTAGATTAATGAATTTGATGTTTAAATGAATCTGATGTTTTGATGATGATTTGATGATGCTGCTGATTTTTGATGATGTTTTGATGATGGTAAATTTTTTTTACATGAATCTGATGTTTTGATGTTGCTGTTGTTTACGATGATATTCATGATGTTCTGATGTTGCTGTTGTTCATGATGATTCTTGATGATGATTTGATGATGTTGCCGATTTTTTATGATGTTTTGATGATGGTAAATTTTTTTTAAATGAATTTGATGTTTGAAACACCCACAAACATCAAAAACATTATATGTTTGGAAAATAAGGAAAATCTAAAAAAGGCCTATAGTAAGCTTTTTGGGTAATTCGGTAAATTACACATAAACACCAACCCAAAATTACCCCCTCAATTACTGACCCAGATACGTAAAAATATGAGTAATAATATCTTTACACATAAAATAGGACCTATTAATCTAATAAAAAAACGTCGAGACTTAGGCCAAGTTTGGGAAGACTAAATAAGTGCACTTTTTGACTTTTTATGAAATATGGGTTGAGTTTGGGTTGGGTTTGAAGTGATGTGTTAGAGAAGTGATGTGACTTAAATAAGATGATGTGATTTAAATAGGATAGTGACTTTTTAACTTTTTAAATTTTTTAAGAGTTGCCAAACTTGACCTAAATAGGTTAACATTCTCAAATTAGAGATTTAATGGTGCTTTCCCCACAACAAAACCACATTATTGAATTACGGGAGAGACGTTTGCTTTTATGTGTTGATTGAAAAATAATATCAATATAATGAAAAAGTTCATAAAATATTTTTTTAATATTACAAAGTTTTCTACTACTATGATATTATTTTTCTCATTTTCCCAAATAAGAAGGCCTATATTTTGGAACTCTTGGCCCTTCCAAGCCCACAATCCTCCCTGGAGCCTCAGTGTGTTCTAGTACAAACTGCTAATCTATTTGCTTCAAAGCCCATCCTTCTTTATTTTATTTTTTTTCAAGATAAATATCCCACTTTTTTTTTATTAAAAATAATTTTGGATCAATCAGCAAGAGATTATTTACAAATATGAAGAGAATTAGATCTCAATAATTATAATCTAACTATAGAAGCCATTAACCAACCTAACAAAGAGTCTCATTATAAAAATAAATAACATAACATAACAAAGGGCCCAACAACAACCAACAAAGAACCACATTATTAAGGGTGGCTCTATTTGAACCCCAAAAGATAGATTGGACATCTAAACTTCATGAAATTTGTTTTATTATTCAAAATGATTAAAAAAAAATCAAATCCAATCCATAATCATTACAATCATCTCTCACAAAAAAGCTAAAAAAGTCAAAAAGCTAAAAAGTCCTTCCCAAACCAGGCTAAAATAGCCCAGGCTAAAATAGCCAAAAAGCCAAAAAGCCAACCCACTTCCCAAACGGAGGCTAAGGGTGGCTCTATTTGAACCCCAAAAGATAGATTGGACATCTAAACTTCATGAAATTTGTTTTATTATTCAAAATGATTAAAAAAAAATACAAATCATAGTATTTTAGACACCTCATCTCATAATCAATCCCTTTTATCTTCTCTCTTTACTTTCTTCAATTTATATCTTCATACTTAACTTTTTTGAATCCATTATTCTTGCATTCTATTTCATTTTAAAGTCAACAGTGAACAATGAAGAAGTTTCCAAACTGTTTCTTATAGGGAATGCAAGTTTTCTATTCATCTTCATCATTTTGGCCAATGGATTTTCGAAATTTGTTTAGAAATTCAATATTGAACAAATTATATTTATTCAAAAACTTATTTCTAAAAAAATTTCATATGTTCAGTATTGTGTTTATGAATTATTTGACATTGTTCAATATTCAATATCCGAATATGTTATCTATGTTCGGTTCTGTGTTTTTGAACATTTATTTTTCTAATTTCTTCATATTTCAATTTCGAACAAAAAGAATTATCTGGTACTATATCTCCAAACAAATTACACACGTTTGGAAATCTTGTTTCAAATAAATTCAATTTTATTTGATATTGAGTATCCGAAAAAAAATAAAAATATTCGGCTATCAGTTTTCATACCTTTGGGCGGTTTGGGAACTATTCAATTTGTGAGATGTACTAAGTATTTTTCTAAAATTTTTAAAGATATATTACGTATTATTTGGGGTGTTTAAAATAATAAAATAAATTTTAAATTTTAGATTGGGAAGTTAAGAATCTTGGAGTATCTAACTAATCTTTTGAGGTGCAAATAAAACCACCCCATTATAAATCTTTAATTTTGACACATTAACTCTCCCGACCATCTAAATACACATATTTTTTTTCTTATCTAGAGAAGAAAGAGCTCATTTGGGAGGTGGTTTGATTTTTTAACATTTTGACTATTTTAGCTTAAGGTGAAAAAATGTTGTTTGGATAGGTTTTTTGACTTTTTTAATTTTTGTAAGAGAAAAAATGAAATAATTATAAATTAGATGTAATATTTTACCCTATTTAACTAAAATAACTTAATTTTTTTTATATAATTATTTTAATCCAAAACATCTTCCCAAACAAACTCAATGGAGAATTGAGTGAGAGAAACTATTACAGTGATAAGAATTGAATTCGTACATTACATTTAATAAGAAAAGGCTTTGACTATCAAATTTATTCCTGAATCTTTTTCTCACCTCTCAAATAGAATAATATAAAATTATCAACTAAACTAACTTATTAAAATTCAACTTTAAGGCCCAATTATTGAAACCAAACTTTTGGTAGTGGTCACCTGTCGGCTGGTGATTTTTTCAACTTCTAGATCAGACTCACACATGGAAATTGTACAAGAATCTTCAGTTATATATGTTTGGTATTTTTGAGTTTGCATGAACATTGGATTTAATCATTGAGTTATTTATTAATCTTGTGTGTGTGTGTGTGTTTTTTTTTCTTTTTTCAACTTATTTTTTAAATTTAAATTCAAATTTAAATTAAATTGATTTGTCAAACTCAAAAAAAATTTTAAAGTTGTATTCCTAAAATACAGTTAATTTTTTTTAATTAACTAATTGAAGTCTGTTTTTTACTCATTTAGCCCTTATTTGGAATGAACTTTTTTAGCCTGACTTTTTTTTTTATTATTTGACTATTTTAACCTGACTAAAAAAATTATATTTGAGATGTTTTTTATTTTATTATTATTTTTTTTATAGTTGATTTGACATTGTGAGAGAAAAAATGAAAATTATATTTAACGTGATATTTTATCTTATTAACTATTTTAGTATTTTTTTTTATATCTTTGTTGATTATTTTAAACAATTCCTCCTTCATTGCAATAAAATTAATATTCCAACAAATTTATATATATGGTACGTTGAAAAAAATATATAATTATATGTTTGTTTAGATTTGGAGCCCACACTCTCTTGCTGATAATTTAGGGCTCATAACAGTTGTGAGGGAAGAAATTTGGACCCCATTTGATTTTAATGTTTTGGTTTCTTTTTCAATTCACGTAATTAATTTTTGAAAATATTATTTATAAGTCCTATTTGGAAGACATACTACATAATAGTCATGTGAAAAAAATTATGTTCCTAAAAGTCTTGTGGGTTTAATGTTGACACATTTACCCCAATATTATTATGTAATTATCTAATTAATGTCAATACCATATATAGAAAATCCAATGTTACCATAAATTGTGACTATATGGTTGGGAATTTGAATTTCAAATTTGAAGTTCCATACATGGGAAATCTAATATTACCATAGATTGTGATCATATCTATATGGTTAGGAATTTGAATTTCAAAATTGATGTTTTATTTGGTTATCGACCTTTGATGAAGCTACATTTTAGGAAACAAAATATAGGTGATATCTTATGTCTCACATCAACCTGATTTATTGTGAAACATAAATGGAATGTGATGGATTTACATGTTAACAGACGTTGCGTTAAGTTTATTGGCATAGTTTGAAAGAAAAACGGATCCATTTTTCATATCAAATATAAACAGTTCTAACATAAATATGAGCTGACATTGAATGTGAAAGTTACATTCTCATGTGCATAACCCAATAGGACAATGAGATAGTTATACAGTCGGAATGTCCACCAATCGTTGGTTCTACACTACGAAGCGCAATGTAAAAGTGTACACAATTATGATGTCAATGTGGCGTGATGTGAACATTGAATCCAATGTGGAAAAATGGAATGTGACAATGGAAATCCTCAAATGTGTACCTTCAAATCTCGATGACAATGTGTATGTAACTTTTGAAAATGGAATGTGACAGAGTCACATAAATTGAATCCATTGTGAAATTGAACTCCACAGGGGATACGACACATTAGGGACCGTCTTGGGATCCAAAATAAGCATCCCAATGTTAATGTGGGCTCGGATTTAAACTAATCGTCGGTGGTAGAAAATGAAGCGCAATGTACATTTGAATACACTTTAGAATGCGAGTGTGATATGTTAGTGACGTGATGTCAACTAATGTGGGTTCATAATGATTGACAATGTGTACATGACACTTAAAAATGGAATGTGATAGAGTCATATAAACCGATGCATTTTTTGTATCAACACTAAACAACCCAATGTAAATGTGAGTTCACATTGAGTACGGGTGTGACTTGGTTGTACTGTGGGGTCAATGTCTTAACATGCGACCTGGCATGCGACATATGTGTTTTATAATCAAATGTGAGCACAATATTGACATGGATATACTGCTCTAGGGAATAACATGACATCGTGAATGTCCACATTCAATCCACATCAAGCAATGGGATTCAATCCACATTTAATTACAAACCC